CATTAAATTCCAGTGAAATATATTTATGTTTGTGGTTGTAATGTGACAAAATATGGAAAAGTTCAAGGGGTATGAATACTTTTGCAAACCACTGTACTTATGTCATTCCTCTCCTAGACTGGATACCCCTTCAGCAGGTGACCAGCAAGTTAGAAGCTACCGGAACTGGAATCCCCCTCTCCTCGGAAATCTCCCGGACGATTTTTTGCGAATACTGCCGCAGCAGTTAGACAGCTTTAAGGTAAAAATTGTTTTTAATCATGTGCAATAATCGGAGCCATACTGATGTTTTCAGCTACTTCATTTTTGCTGAAGAACTCTTCACACCTCGTATGTGTATGTTTTAATTTTCTGATTGACTGACTGATCAACCAGTCAGTATCATGTGGTATCCTTCTAATAATAAATAATAAATAATAAATAATAAATTAATATTTTGGTTTCACTGAATGCCGCAATCCATCAGTTCTCGAAAATCTAAATCTAAAAAGAGGGATCTCAGAAATTGACACACATACAGAAGAATAAATAATAATAATTACAACGGCAAACAGTGATAAAGGACCCTTGCACACTAGAAGGGTGAAATTACAAGCAAAATTTTTAGCAGAACTTCATTCTCTGGATGTGATGCTGTTTTTCACTCCTAGTTGTTTCTGCTACATAACCAAGGTATAGTTGTATCATTGATCGCAAAAAGTAAGTAAAGCAAGTAAAGCCTGGCAGCCCACCAGGGTAATATTACACTGGGGTAAACCCAGCAGTGGGTGGGTAGTTGCCGAGCAGAGTGGTATAGTTTTTAATGCTGTGGTAGCAAAACGCTAAGTTATTTTAAGCATTACTCTTGACATAATATATTTTGTTTCAATAAGATATGTTGTCCTTATGTCCATTAACACTTCAAACACTTTAACACAGTGGTCCCCAAACTACGGCCAGCGGGCCGGATCCGGCCTGCCTCCCCATTTGGTCCGGCCCCCAGAACAATACCAGAGAGCATTTAGTTTTTTTTTTCATATATGTGTATTTGTATTTGATTATAAAGTTGGACTTTTGCAATAAAATGTTGCTTAATTATGAAGTATTTTCAATATTAACTATTATTAGTTAGTAACTATTTCATACATAAACACATATAACATGACATTCTGTTCCACCCTTCTGTGGTCTGTGCCCCTATC